GAGTTGCGTCTGCCGACACATACAAATTGAATGCAGGCGGACAGGGGGGTAGCTAACAGGAGTGCCGTGTTTCCATGATAACCGAAAGTTTCTTATGGCGCAAAGTTAAATGCACTGATTTAGTCCAAAAATAGGCAACGGGCTATTCAGTCACTTTTGCCAAAGCCTTCGGCCTCTGCATTTGTCAAATGTGGCAGGACATCGACACGGCCTAGGGTAACTTTCACGATTAAGTTAATAAAAAGAATATTAAGTGTATTAAGTCGTGCAATGAGGTTTTGATCCACCCAAAAGGAATCAATGTAATAGTAGTTTGACGGAAATCCTTTGCGACGAAACACCAACGTTTCATGGATACAGGAGGATCGCTGTCATACGCCAACAGTTTTACAATTGTTTCTGTCATAAGGCTGTAATTAAAGACATAACATTGTGACATAACTCGTGCGAGCATTATTTGAGAATTAACGCAGTTGTGCTCCGAAACCTGTTGTTACACAGCTGCGTAATCCCGCAACCTAATGACGTTTTTTGTCCATCCCTTAGGTCGCTGACTGGAGTTAGGGCCTGCTATCGTAGGAAGAACCATTGAACATTCTCGGTGTACTCCTGACCGACAATACTACTTCTTAAAAGTGACTGTCTATTTCATCTGCGCTGCAACTTTTGTTCCCGTTTTTGCAGTTGATGAGGGTGAGGACGTTTTTTACAGATCTTTGAGTGCTGAGGTTCGCGATAGAGCACAACACCTATTTAATCTGAATATTTACGCTTTTATGCATTTCGTACGTTGCCTGCATTTGGCATAGTTTTTAGAGTTGTAGGCAATCTTCCTTTCACCTTTTCAGCCTAACTAGCGCCGTTGATATAAAACAATAGCGTTTAATGAATAACAATTCGACTGAATATCATACATCACAAAATAATTCAGATAGGTTAAAAGCTTTTATATATTCACCAAACTTTTCTAACTGAAAGACCTCCAAGCCTGAACTATGCAGGAAATACGGTTGCGCTTGATGTTAGAAACAGATGTGGAACAGCGTTTAAACGATGGACTTGAAAATTCCTGCCATGGTGAACTCTGGAAGTTAAGCTTGTCAAAAATAGAGCTTAAGCGAATGTTGCAATGGTCAGAAATTACCAGTGTAGCACAATCTTTGGCAATGTAGCAATCCGCTACATTAGTGAAGATCTGGGCTAGCGGGGAGCTGATGGGAGTGTTAAACTTTTATAACGTCGGCTAAACAAATCGGGAGCAGAAATTAACAGCTTATATTCAAATCGCCAATGATCACAGCAGGACTCTATTCACAAAACAGAACGAACTGGGACACCAGAGCAATCCGGTTCAAACATGGCAGTTGGCTAAGTTAATCGTTTTAGACTCTGGTAAAGATTTGGGAGAAGTTATCATACGTGGCTGTGAATATCTTCTTGAGCCGAAGCGAAAATCAAGATAGGGTTAAGGGTTTGAACATTACACTCCAATAATGCCACCTGTACAGCAGTTTTGATATCCTGTCAATTCTGTTTAAACTGTACTTACGGAAATCAATCAGGCTATCATCAATTTCAGGATAAAGCCAAGATTCTTGGAACCAAACTGCAAACTTATTGGCGAAGCAATTTGTTATGCAAAGCGTCTTTATTACGTTACTTTTGTTTAAGACAGATCTATAATTATTACGCACTAAAAATAAAAGATAAAAAACATGTTCATGCCATAATGTTCTAGGTTAAACCGATTCAATCTCGACATAAAGGATGTGAAGTTTTTGGTATGTCAAATTTCTTGGCAATGTCGTCTTCCTGGAATCAGTTTATAACATTTTCATAAGATCCGACGAACAGACGAAAAAAGAGCGATTTATAAGAATTTATAACAAAGAGTAATGAAACAAAGCAGCCATTGAACTCACTCGGTGGGATTTTGCTTTAAATAAGAATTATACAACTGTTTGACAAGATGTGATGAAATATTACATCTGGCCTTAACGTACTTCAAGAGACAAATCATGGAGTGGCTGAGGAGTCAAGTACAGCATAGTTGAGGCGAAGCGATTGCGATCAGTGCCATTGTTCACTGCAAGTCTGAATTACGTCAAATTCGACAATCCTGTCCTAAACTATCTTTCTTTTCCTAGTTAATTATCCATCACTTTTCAATTTTTTCAAGCATACAAACACTTACAGATGCAGTTGGGAATAACTTACTAAACAATCTCATAGGATCACTTCAAAAATAATTTTTCAGTGTCGCGATTGTTTTAGGTAGTAAATCGGTCGGAAATATTTTCAAAAATACTGAAGAGACTATAAAAATCGTAGACATATTCAACAAACACTCAACGTCGACCTCAGATATCCAGACATGTAACGTCTGGGAACAATTCCATAAAAGAAAAACAAACCTTTGCTTTTACAATTTCATGATAAGCAAGCACAACGACCGCAAAATTTCCTTCCCCAATTTTTTTCTTGATTCGATAATTACCAATTTTAACGATTCTGGCATTTGAAAGTCCACCAAACATTCTTTCTTTCAAAGGACCATCTATATGGTGCTATACAGTATATTGATACAAGATCATCACGTTAAGTAGACAACTAACTACATATATATATAATAGCGGGAATTTATATTGATAATGAGTGAATGCTATACTGAAATTAGATCAGAGTCCTCAGGAAAGCTCTAATTTTTTTAATAAAAAAATTAACGACACTCAAATTTAATGCATTTTCTCGTTAAATTATATGAATTTATCCATACAAAGGAATTCTCCAGATACAAATTTTATTAAATTTACTATTGCGTTTGTAGCATACCACGCATTCTATTACATGTTAAAGTGTTCGACAAGTCGGACAAGCCTAGTTGGCTAATTGTTACCACTAATATGGTACAATAACTCACAGTTGCTATGCAGTAGCAGATGTCCATATCTTAATCGCGTTAGTTTGGCAGTTGTCGATCCGGATGAAAAGCGACTGTATGTGTTTCTATTATTTGATGTCTCTATCGAAACATGGTCAATTCATTCCTTACCGATCAGGTTCTAATATTCATCAACTGACTACCATACAATCGCTTCCAAATTCAACCTAAATGACTTCAAAGTCTAACATTTGTCTTCGTCCATTCCGTTGTAGTGCCTCTCTTTTCCTTCTGTTGTCCGCATGACCCGAAAAGAGTATAGCATGACTCGAAACTATCACGTTAATTTTAAAAAAAATTTATGTTTTGTGAGGTATCACTGAAGACATAGGTTGAAATGATCCGCAGTTTGGAATAAAAGAATTTGTCGCAGTCAAATACAGCTCCAAAATAATTCATTTGTGATACCAGACACCGCCATTATTAAAATTGCTGAAGGCCTGATCTAAACTTCGCCATTACTTTGACTCCTATAGGTGCAGGATTCAATCACATTACCTTATTGTTGAGTCACCGAGACAAGGGTTTGATTCCATAATCGCTAAGATTGAATCAGCTTTCAACAATAACTAATCCAGAATTGTGTCTTGTTGAAGCGTTTGAAAATTATGCTGAGATTAAGACGATTACTCAGCCGTTTTCGACGGTTGAAGTTAAAACAAGAAGTTATTTCAATTCGGAATCTTATGATCTCTAGGAGACGTAATATTGGATAAGCATATTTTCCTTAAATATGAAAACAGCATTGTACATGCCACCGGAAAAAGTAGAAAACAAGGGAATAAACGAATTATTGATCAAATGGGCCCTAACCTTCAATAACCAAAAAAGAAATTACGCTGATATCACTACCGCCTACAGGAATTCTACCAGTGTCTGCTTAAACAAAGTGAATCAATGTAATTTATCGCTTTTTGCGAGAAAGAAAATGTGTGATTTGAGAACAGATAAGCTTTACCAGTTAATTAAGTGAGCCAGATAAATTACGAATGAAGAAGCTTGAAAGAAAGTGATGCTTCGTTAGTTATACTGCAGAAATGAAAGTTCTATCCTTGTATCAAAAAGAATCCATTTTAGTGACACAGACTAAACTGATAAATTATCGAATGTTCTGCCAAAGCATTTTATGCAAGTCTTGAATAAACTGTTTAGCCAGTTGAAATCACACCAAGTGCAGAGAAAAAAATTTGTCCCTAAAAATTTATATTGTTTTTATACTGATGAAATTTAAAACAATTGCAGCATATTGAATTTGCCTGCCTTCCCAAAACTCGTGCACCAATACAAGCTGTTTTCAGTCTGTCAAGAGACATTTTTTTGCTCGTTTTCCACTCGCAAGTGAAAACTGAAGACGCAACAGCGATTCACCAAGGTTAAGTTTAATATCTGAACTTCAAACTTTCTGTCGAGAATCGTGAATCTCAGAAGGTCCAGTTCAGCCTAGACTCTATCCAAGATCATAGTTTTTAGGTTATTATCCACGTCCCATGAACGTAAGTGAGTATGCAGTTGATAATCGATTTGAACTCAGACTCAA